TCTCTGCCTGATGGGGCAAAAAGATTTCAACAGGGACTAGCACCTCTCAGGGCAGGGCTCTAACCAGTGGGCTATGGGATATTCTGCTGTGGGGCTCCCGCAGTCTCTCCTGTTGAAGTTGTTCCACTTGGATAAGTGTTTAAACAATGGTCTGTAAAGTTCATTGCTCAGTTGTTCCTGTAACCAAGCCACCTTTTCATTTCCAGGTGCAGATTGGGTGTCACTCAGATGACCTCAGCAGAGCAAAGGAGCTGAAACGCCCCCCTGTGGTGATACGCAGATGTGATGTCAAAGATCAGGAGATGTCAGTCTCCTCTCTCTGGGGGGGCCTCATTTACATCATAGTGCCAAACGGAAGCCAGCTGGGGGGAGTGTCTATCACTGTAAAAGGGGCTGTGCAGGCTCCTTTCTTCAGACTTGGTAAGTGTGCTGGTAAATAGTCTGCATATCTCTTCTTAGCCAGTTTTGCTGCTGCTGCTGATCGTGAAGAGACACACAGAGAAGTGCCTCTCTAATTATCCGTGATTTGGGCTTGATCAGTTTTCATGCCTTTATCATGTTGCTTGTTTAAAGTCCACTTCTGAGCAAGATCTTCTTTAGCTGCCTTCTTCCTGGTCATTTGTGTATTCACTAAACCTTGTTCTCCTCTGTCGGAGAGAATAATGTATCTCTGCCAGATTGATATCTTCATGTTTCTCACTAGATATTCAAGCAAGAACAAGGGTTATTTTGATAGCACCTTAAAATGCTGTCAGGGAAGAGGATAAAGGCAGAAGATGAAACCAATATTGGCAGGGAGAGGAGATCGTAGTCTCATGCTTTTAGGGGTTCTCAAACTTCATTGCACCGCAGCCTGAGTCGACTCAAACAACACCGTCCCAAGCGGGGGGGGGGGGGGGGAGAGGGGCAAAGCAGAAGTCCAAGGGCTTAAACCCTGGGGGAGGGGGGAGGGGCTGTAACCTGAGCCCTGTCACCCGGGGCTGAAGTGCTTGGGTTTCAATCCCAGGTGGTAGGGCTCTAGCGTCGGCCGCGGACCACAGCAAGTCTAACGCCAGCCCTGGCGACCGCTTTAAAACAGGTTGCAACCCACTTTGGGGTTCCAACCCACAGTTTGAGAACCACAGAGCTAGATGAATCCAGCAAAATCTCAGGCTGTTTTAAGTTTTCTTATAGATGCACAGGGCCAAATTTAGAGTTGCTGTATGTGCACAGGGGTCCACTGAAGTCAGTGGATTGGGATAGAACACACAGAGTCTGAATTTGGCTCACAAATTAATATCATGAATCATTCTTGAATCAATAATATTTTGAACATATTGTTCCCATATATTCAAAATGATTTTCCTTGTGTTTGAATGTGCTTTAACCTCATGGTAAAATTCTCTGGGGAAAAAAAACAACCAATAGTGTTTCTTATTTATACACCCCTGGTGAGACCAAATGACATTTCATTGCAATTAGTGGACTGAATTGATCCTCACCCCTAGTTTTCATGTTAAACAGAAGAACACACTTATTTCATTATTTCTGGCTGTTAACTATAACACTAATAAGAAAAGGGAAAAGTCTAATATAATTATTTGTTCAATAGCAGCTCTTGAAGGTCCCAATCAGGATCGAGGCCCCATTGTGCTTGGCATTGTACAAATGCAGAATAACAGATCATTTTTGCCTCAAACAGCTTACAATCTAAATTGAATAAAAGGTAAAACAGGGTCCCAGTCCACAAACCAATGAATATAGTGGACGGGTTTCTATTTACTACAATGGACTTTGGATCAGTCTTTGAGAGAATGCAACCAAAAAAAGGAGAGGAGGAAGATGAAGGATAATAAATCAAATCAAATCATGAGGTTACTTAAGTAGCTTCTGCTCATCTTTAAGGCTTCCGAGGGCCTCAAGTGAAATCAGCTATACCCAACTGACAAGGAACCAAATCATCACGGGATTTGTGCACTTAATCTCTCTCATCCATATTGATGCAGGAAAGTCATCTAAGAGCCAGTGGCTGACCTGCATCCGTCACTATCCAGCTCCGTGGGCAGAACTAGCTACCCAGAACATCATCTTAACAGTGCCTGCTGACAGCATCCGTCCCATAGACGATCCAGAGCCTTTGCTGACCCTCTGGGAGCGGATTATGGCAGCTGTAGCTGAGCTGGCAGCTACACCAGCCACGTTCCCTCAGCCAGAAAGGATTGTAGCGGATGTTCAGATCTCAGACGGTGAGTACGGTGTATTGTCATAAAAGGCAAAAGAGCGACACCCTGGGGTAAAGGATTGAATTGGAGGCTGGGAGCCAGGAACTCTTTAATTGCAATGCTGGTTCTTCCGCTGACTCTCACTATGACACCTTGGAAAGTCACTAACCTCTGTTGAGCTTTTCACCAAGGCACAAGACATGGCGAATACAGTGGGACCCTCTAACAGTGTATCTCTATTTACAGTGAAGCTTCTCTCCCAAGCACACCCTTATTCGAGCTGTCAGCTCCTGCCTCAGTTTACTCTAGGAGCGGGGGGAAAGGAATTGGTTATACCCAACTCACAGTACAGCAGCCCTCCTTACCAGTGCAAAATTATTCTACACAGCTAGAGCTGGTCAAAATACTGAGAAGGAAAAATATATGCTATTAACAGAAGGATTTTAGTTCAGTTAGAAACTGGTCTGGATGAAGACTTATTCAATTACATTTATTCAATCAACTAGTGAGCTGCTTGGTCGATTCTGAAGCTTGAATACCCACTCTGATCCTTGTTAGATGCTCCATAAATGCCATTTATTTGCTTTTGATATCTGTCAAATTCTAAATTACAAATTAGCAAATATTGTGACTGACTTAGTTACGCATTAGTGAACCGAACTTCAGCAGATTTGTGGTTTAGCAAATCTTAGTCAACCCCCTCCACCTACAATATACTTTCTAGTCCTTTGTTCATTCCTAGATTTAAATGACTCCAACCATGGAGCTTCCTTTGGAGAAGACCATTCCATATTCTATGTTAGTAGATCTCACCACTATAAATGTCTCTTGGTCAATTTCATCACGCTATGATTTCATCACATTATGCATCCTTGTCCAGCTGTACAATTATGTCAATGAGGCTACGCTCCTGCTGATTGTTAAATGCTTTACTGGACTGGGGCCAGAGCATGCAGCATTTCACAAAGCTGAGTGCCGTCTGAGGATGACTCAGTGGTCTGTCTGAAATTACTTGGTGGATGTCAGTCCAGTCCCCAATAGATTAATGTCCACACCAACAAACAACCATCATAATTAGAATTATTTGGGCCCTGTGTTCAGGGCCGGCTCTAACTTTTTTGCCGCCCCAAGCTAAAAAAAAGAGCGCCGCCCTCCATAGCACTGCCATAACACATCCCCTCAGCACCGCGACACCCCCCCCCCCCCCGCCCCCCCCCCCCCCACCCCCCCCCCTGAGCGCCGTGCTGCCGAAACTCCCCCGCCGAGCGCCGCACTGCCGAACCCCCCCCCCGCCACCACACACACCTGCCGCCGAGCACCACCAAACCCCCCCACTGCCGAGCCGCGCTGCCGATCCCGCCTGCCAAGTGCCGCGCTGCCGAACCCCCCCGCCGCCGAGCCCCTCTGCTGAACCCGCCCGCCGAGCGCCGCCAAACACCCCCACCGCCGAGCCGCGCTGCTGAACACACACACACCCCGCAGCGCGCCCCGCCGCGCCGCCACACACACCCCTGCGGAGCGCCGCTGCCGAATCCCCCCCCCAGTGCCCCCAGCCACCAAAACAAAAAAACCCCACCCCACCCCCAGCGCCGCCTGACCGAATCCCCCCAAAAAAACAAAAAACCTGAGCGCCCCCTCCTCCGCCACCCCCAAGATTGGCCGCCCCTTACCAGGTGCCTCCCCAAGCACGTGCTTGGTCGGCTGGTCCTGGAGCCGGCCCTGCCTTTGTTGAAAATCAGATGCCAAGGATAGACTGGATCATGAAGAAGACTCAACTAACTTCTCACCACAAGGGGTGGTCCCTCCAAGAATTTGAGATCAATTGAGAGGAGGTGGTGTGTAATTTAGAAGCTTGTTCTGCCACTGCCCAGCCTCTCTCTCTTTTGTGGATTTACTGTTTTGTTATCCAATTACAGTTGTCAATCCAGCACCTTTCTTCATGCTGAAATTGACTGTAACAAAGAAATTAAATATCAATACTAAATCATACTGCCCCACCACTTTTCTCCACCTCCCCCCCACCCCCAAACCAAGGGGATCAGCATCTCTGACACTCAGACCATTTATTTCTAAAGAGCAGTATAATGAACACGGTATTAAAACATTCTAAAATACAATAAAAACATTAGATCTGGGGACACCACTACAAAAATGTTCATGAATATCAGCTCTATTGCTTTAATGCATCCTCCGTGGTGGTGTTTGTGCCTCTCTTGGCTTTGATTTCCATCAGCATTTGAGTTTCACTGTCACAAAAAGTCACAGAAAGTGAATTTCAGAGAGGTGTGCATGAATCTTTGCAGAAACTGAAATTTTAAACGTGGGAGTATTCTCAGTGGAAGGGCCTGCACATACACCCCCAAACAGGTACAGCATTTACAACAAGATGACTTATCTGACCAATCCCAA